CAGCTGTCCCATGTCAGCGACAAGCCCTTCAAGTGCAGCTTTTGTCCCTATCGCACCTTCCGAGAGGACTTCCTGCTGTCCCATGTGGCTGTCAAGCACACAGGTCAGGCCTGGCACCTCCAGCCCCACCTCACCAGTCCCAAGCCCCCTTCTGGAGGCTCGCCTCCTGTCCTCGTCCTTTCCCCTCAGCATCCAGGCCACAGGAGCAGCCAAGTCCTCTGGCTGGACAGGAAACTTCCTGTGGATGTGTTCCCTGGCCTGGGCTCCCAGTCCGACTCAGCTGGGCCCTCTTGGGGTGGCCACAGGCCAGCTGCTTGCCCTCTCTGAGCCTTCCTTAGTCATAAAATGGGGACATCAAAAGTGGGACATCATAACCTCACATCCCAGTGGGGTTATGAAGTGAGTTCCCCGTGTATACTGGGGCTAGAGACGGCTCACGTAGCCCACTCACAGCAGGAGTGGCAGCAGGGCTGCTGTGTGCTTGGCCGTGAGGGCGAGCTGCAGAGGTGGGGCTCTGTCCTCCTTGGGCCTGGTCCTCTGGCGGCATACTAGGGGATGAGCCAGAGGCTCTAGTGCCAGATTCCTGCCACCTGGGAGAGGTATCTCACAAGAGCAGTATGTGGTCATGTGACCCTAAAAAGCTGTGAGGGCAGGGGGAAGCCCTGATTCATGTCTGTCCAGCCCACCGGAACAGATGGCAGCTTGTGTGTCCCGAGCAGGAGAATGAATCAGGGAGGCAGTCGGAGAGGTCCTGGGGTCAGGGAAGGCTTCCTGGAGGGGGTTGGGCACAAGCATCCCCACATTGCCCTCAGGAGCCAAGCCCTTCGCCTGTGAGTACTGCCACTTCAGCACACGGCACAAGAAGAACCTCCGCCTGCACGTGCGCTGCCGCCACGCCAGCAGCTTTGAGGAGTGGGGGCGGCGCCACCCTGAGGAGCCCCCCTCCCGCCGTCGCCCCTTCTTCTCTCTGCAGCAGATTGAGGAGTTAAAGCAGCAGCACAGTGCAGCCCCTGGACCACCCACCAGCTCCCCAAGCCCTCCCGAGGTAAGCACAGCTACCAAGGCAGCAGATGGAAGGGGCTCGGGAGGGCGGGCCAGAGCGGCACTGTGACGTCACCTCTCCAGCTCCAGCACCTTCCTTTGCACATTGAGGTCCAGCAAAAGGCCCTGGACTCTCTAGAGTGTGGTAAAGACCAGCTGAATCCCAGAAATGCCACCGCGAGGTAGAGTGGGGTACTTTCCAGTGCTAGTGATAGAAAATGGAAATACTGCGGCCAGCAGGTTGCGTGGTGGTTAATGCACAGAACTTCTACATGGGTGACCACAGTTTGAGTCCTGGACCTGGAAATTTGCTGTCTTCCCTTTCTCTCTCTCTCTCTCGTCAAATCAAAAATAATAACAAAACTAAATAAATATTTTTTTAAAAAAGAAAATGAAAATATCACTTATTCTCTCAAAAGAACTTGAAAGGTCAGCAGTCTAGGAGTGACGTAGTTGTAGGGACCAAGCTTTCTCACTGTTTTTGCCCAGCCATCCTAGGCAGATGACGTCCATCTTTGTGGTTGCCTCATGGTCCAAGATGGCTGCAGGAGAACCAGCAGCACCAGCCACATCCTCACCAGGAAACAGGAGGAAGGGATAGGAGGAGGGCAGAAAAGATGCTTGCCATCTCTGTCTTCTTCATGAATTTTACCAGTGTCACAGAAATGCTTTGTTTAGCCACGTGCCACATTTTAACTGCAAGAGGGGCTGAGGAATGTGGTCCTGTAGTGGAGCACATGGCTGGCTGATGAATTTCAGAGTTCTCTTAGCAAGAAGAAGGGCCGGTGCTAGCACGCTCTGCTGTGTGAGCCCACACAGCCCAGAGAACTCTGGTTCTACCAGAGTGCTGGTAGAACCCAGGCTTTGGAGCCAGACAGCCTTGGGTCCAAGTTACAAGGAGTGGGTTCCAAGGGCAGCCTGTCACCTCTGAGCCTCCGCTGGGTGGTCCGTCACTGCGCAGGCATGTCTGAGATGTAGTCATGAAGGGATGAGCCAACAGATGTGCAGCACAGCCGGGCGCCCCATCGGAGGGCCTTAGAAATGGCAGTGAGTCGAGGTCTCAAACTTGGCCCTCTCCACCCTCCACAGATCCCCACCGAGCCAGCACCTTTTCAGTCACCCGAGACACCCTCACTGCTCTGCTCCGACACCCTGGGTGGCGCCACCATCATCTACCAACAAGGTGAGCTCTGAGGGAGAGTGAGTGCGTGGGGTGGGGCCTGGGCAGAGGTCATACCAGTGGAGGCAGGAAGCAGGGAGGGTGGCCTCTGGTGCCAGTTTTCCAGCCCCTTCTCAGTTCAGGTCCCACCCCACCCAGGAGCTGAGGAGTCTGCTGCAATGGCCACCCAGACAGCCTTGGATCTGCTGCTGAACATGAGTGCCCAGCGGGAACTGGGGGGCACCGCCCTGCAGGTGAGCTGCCTGGGGACTGCCCCTCCTGCCCACTACCTTAGGTGCCTAGCTCTGCACGGGTGCTGGGGATGGAGGAGAACACTGAATCCAGCCTGCTCTGACTGCTGGGAGCTCCAAGGAGGCGAGCCAGCAGGTCCACTGAAAGAAAGTAGGCGGGCACAGGACCAGGCATGGCAGCATGGGCCCTAGAGGCCAGGGAGGCCCAATTATCTCCACACCATACTCCAGAACTTCCAGCCACCTCTGCTATGCCAAGGAAGACACACTGCTCCCTCTGACTTCAGGGCCCTGTTCCTGTTCAGTTTTCCTTCTGGCTCTGGCCACCCTGAGCCTATGGGTGCTCCCCCAGGGCAGAACCAGCTTCCGACTTCCTGAGGGCCTTCATTTCATGAAGTCTCCCAGGGCTTTGTGTAGCTCAGACTTCTCCCAGGAGTCTGGGCTTTGGCACATGCACCCCAAGGCCTGCATGTCCTCCCTAGGTTCACCTTTACTCCTCCCCTCCTCCATCAGCTGCCTAGGAACAGCCTCCCACCACCCTCCTGGCCCCTGCAGATCCAGCCCAACTCTCAGGCAGAGAGAAATTTGTTAGCACCCCCTGTGTCCCAGCCTCTTAAAAAGACAGAGTGCTTTTGAGACTCTGTCTCAAAAAGAAAGAAAAGGTGATTTCCCTCAGGAGCACATCACAGCTCCAAGTTCTTGGAATTAATCTTTGTCATGATTAGAAAAATCTTCCCATCCCAAGGTTGTAAGTACTTATCTGCATTTTCTTTTCGTATATTTAGAGTTTTGTTTGTCACATTTCAACCTTTAATGTATTTTTAAAATTTTTTATGTTGAACTTTATTATTTATTTGTTTGTTTATTTTAATTTGACCAGAGAGGGACAGAGAGAGAGAGAAGGAAAGTGAGAAAGTAAGCCACCAGGTCCAGGACTTGAACCATGGATAGCCATGAGGGAGTCCTGCACCCTTAACCACCACAGCACCTGCCGGCCCCCCTTTAATGCATTTGAAGCAGACTTTGGAATAAGATGTAAGAGTAGAGCTCTTCTTTTTTTCTGAAGTTGTTTTCCACGTGACCCTCTCCCCGGGGTTCTTGGCTGTGACATTGCTGACATTTGGGGCCAGATCATTTTTGTTAATGGGATGTTTAGCAGCATCCCTGGCCTCTACCTGCTGCATGCCAGTATTACTGCCCCTCTCCAGGCATGATAACCAAAAGTATCACCAGACAGTGCCAGATGTCCCCCAGGCGGCAAGATTACTCTGCCCTAATCTCGTTGGTCTATCTCTAGTTACCAAGTGGGGTTCAGAGAGAGTGTATTTTAGGAAGAACCTGGGTTGTGCAAACAAGTGGTGGCAGCACTGGCCTGCCAGAGTGTGGGTGGCCCTCAAGGCCCAAGACAGAGAAGGGTCTTGAACAGCAGCTCCTGTGCCGCAGACCCTGCCCATCATGCCTCTGGTGCCATTGCAGGTGGCCGTGGTGAAGTCAGAGGACGCGCAAGCAGAGTTAGCGTCTCCTGGTGGGCAGCCCTCCCCTGAAGGGGCTGCTTCACAGGTGGTGACCCTCCACGTGGCAGAGCCAGGGGACAGTGTGGCAGCTGAGAGTCAGCTAGACACCTCTGACCTGCAGCAGATCACCCTGGCACCTGGTCCGTTTGGGAACACTGGCTACAGTGTCATCACAGCGCCCCCTATGGAGGAGGGGACCTCAGCTCCTGGCACTCCTTACAGGTGAGACCTTTCAGCCCCCCATGGGTATGCCAGAGCAGTCAGGGCTGGGTCCTCCTCACCCTAAACATCCTAGTACATAAAAAGCAATCTGCAGTGGGGCTGGCAGGTGGTGTGGTGGTTGAGGATGCTGGACTCCCACGTGGCTGACCGCAGTTCAAGTCCTGGCTCTGGCAGCTTGCTTTCTCACTCTCCTCTGTCATTCTGTCCCTATCAAATTAAAATAAATAAAATAATTATTTTTAAAAAAGAAAAGCAATTGGCAGTAGAGGAGCCTGTCCCTCTCAGGAGATTAAGAGCTCCCACTTTTCATCCACTTGGATGTTCTAGGTATTTGACACTCATGGTCTCTGTGTGAGAGCCACATTCCCCTCGTTTTACGCATGAGGAAACAGGCAATGAAGGTTGAGTGCCCGGCTTGTGGTCAGACCTGCAGCAGGGAGGACTTGAACCCTGGTCCCTTTGGTTCCCAGGCTGCATGCTCTTTGCCTTGGATGAGCCCATGTTTTCCAGCTCTTAACAGTTAGAGCAAGTGATGACTCTTCTGCTGACCTGCAAGGCCTGCACCTGCACTTGGCTTTCATGCAGTGAGTTTAGGGCAGAAATGGTTATACGGTCACTGAACTCTTAGGGTGCCAGAGAGCCCTAAATCCAAGGACCAGATTGTTGGGCTAGGATGGGAGTCAGGGCCCCTGGGCCAGCGTCTGCCCTGAGCTCCCAGGCTGCCTCCCACACCAGCCTGGCCCTCCATAGGGACTGAGTGCACGAAGGCAGGTGCACCTGTTGGCCTGCCCCCTGCTGTATTCGCACCTACTCTGCCACTCAGGAATGGGGATCACGACTCTCTGAGCAGGACAATGTGCTGGCATGTGGTGACTGCAGAAGAGATGATGGCAGCTATGCTGACACAGGGCAGAGCCGGGGTTCCATCTGTGGTGGCAGCCACCCTTCAGTTGGTGCCCATCCCTTGGGGAATGCCGTCTGTCCTCTCCTAGAACCCTGCCTCATCCCTGCCTTTCCCTGTGCCCACAGTGAGGAGCCCCCAGGGGAGGCAGCCCAGGCTGTGGTGGTGAGTGACACTCTCAAAGAAGCTGGCACCCATTACATCATGGCTGCTGATGGGACCCAGCTGCACCACATCGAGGTGAGGCCAGGGCAGCCAGCCCTCCCCAGTGCCCACTTGCTGCCCTCCCTCGGCCCTCATGCTCCCTGGTCTCCACAGCTGACTGCAGATGGCTCCATCTCCTTCCCGAGTCCAGACACCCTGGCCTCTGGAGCTAAGTGGCCTCTACTGCAGTGTGGGGGGCTGCCCCGAGATGGCCCTGAGCCTCCGTCTCCAGCCAAGATCCACCAGGTGGGAGAGCCCCAGAACTCTGTCTCCCCACCGCCTGCAGCCAGCAAAGCCCTGGGCCTGGTAGTGCCCCCCTCACCACCATCCACAGCCACCGGAGCGTCAAAGAAGTTTTCCTGCAAGATCTGTGCCGAGGCCTTCCCTGGCCGAGCAGAGATGGAGAGTCACAAACGGGCCCACGCTGGGCCCAGTGCCTTCAAGTGCCCTGACTGCCCCTTTAGTGCCCGCCAGTGGCCCGAGGTCCGGGTAGGTGTCCCCATGTCTCCGTCATACATGTGGCCGAGCACTTGTGTGACAAACCTTTATTGAGCACCCCTCGAGGTGCTGCGCCCTCTGGGGCAGTGATGACTCAGCAAGGCTCTAGATCTCAGGGCACTCCGTCTGGTGGGGAGGCAAACTGGATGTCAGGTGACTAATGCCAGGCTGTCCCCAGTGAGCCAGAGCGCAGGGCAGTGTAGAGGCACACGGAGGACAAGCTGCTTGGGCTCAGGGATGCTGGGGAAGAGGTCACAAGAGTGGAAGCTGAGCGGGCCTGCCTCAGAGCAAAGGCACAGAGGTGATGTGAGCGCAGTTGGGGAGGGCCGAGCTGTCCGGAGTACCGAGGACACAAGTTCAAGGCAGGCAGGAGATAACGTGGAGAAGGCACGGGAGGCAGGCTCAGGGTCTACCGTGGGCCTGCCCCGGCTTCCTGGGGGTCTCTAGTTTTCAGATCTGAAGGTGCAGTGTTCTCACAGAGCTGAGGGAGGGGCAGGGTGGAGAGCCTCACCCTCCAGGTAGGCGGACTAACCAACCTAGGGTATGGGGCTTTCAGAGGACCGATCCTCCCGAAGGCTGTGTATGGGTAAACTGAGTTTGCAGCCTGGGGCAGGATCTCCCACGTGGCCCAAAGCAGAGGTGGTGGCTCTCGACAGCTGCTCCTCAGCACACGGGTTTTGGCTCCCTGCATCCCTGAGCAGTCTTGCACCCCCTGCAGGCCCACATGGCACAGCACGCCAGCCTGCGGCCCCACCAGTGCAGCCAGTGCAGCTTTGCCTCCAAGAACAAGAAGGATCTGCGGCGGCATGTGCTCACCCACACCAATGAGAAGCCTTTCGCATGCCACCTCTGTGGGCAGCGGTGAGGCCGGGTGCTGCAGGGTGGGGTCCGCTGGGCAGCGTTGGGGAGCCACCACTGAACTGCCGCCTTCCCTCAGTTTCAACCGTAACGGGCACCTTAAGTTCCACATCCAGCGGCTGCACAGTCCTGACGGGAGGAAGTCAGGGACCCCTTCAACCCAGGCCCCAGCCCAGGCCCCGACCCAGACCATTATTCTGAACAGCGATGATGAGGCCCTGGCCACTTTGCACAGTGAGTTACCCTGGGGCTGTGGGGGCAGGGTACCAGGGTGGGTCCAGAGCCCTGAGCTACAGCCGCAGAGGGTGCCCTCGGCCAGGACACCTCAGGTTTCCCTGGAGCCCTGGGTGAGCATCCTCCACTGTCTCGCAGCTGCACTCCAGTCCAGTCACGGGGTCTTGGGCCCAGACAGGCTGCAGCAAGCGCTAGGCCAGGAGCACATCATCGTGGCCCAGGAACAGACGGTGACCAACCAGGTAAGAGCCTGGGGCCCACTGGCAGGATGGGGCAGGGGCATGGGCAGGGGTAGGGCAGGCAGAGCTGAAGCTCCAGCTGCCCTGGCCCTGGCAGGAGGAAGCCACCTACATCCAAGAGATCACCACGGCCGATGGTCAGACAGTACAGCACCTGGTGACCTCTGACAACCAGGTGAGCCACTGCCCACCCACCCTTGGGAGGAACTGTACTTCCCGAACCCCACCCCGAGTTACGCTTGTTAACTGCCCACAGAGGTGGGTGTCCCTGTCCTCACTGCCTCCTTAGCCAAGCACTGGCCTCCTCCCTTATCTTAGGTCCAGTACATCATCTCCCAGGATGGGGTCCAGCACCTGCTTCCCCAGGAATATGTGGTTTTCCCCGAGGGCCACCACATCCAGGTAGACCAGCTCAGAGGTGGGGCAGGGGGTGGGCAGGCAGCCACGGCCCCCTCCCGGGGTCACAGCCTGGCTCCCTCTCTGCAGGTGCAGGAGGGCCAGATCACGCACATCCAGTATGAGCAAGGCGCCCCATTCCTCCAGGAGTCCCAGGTAGGGCCCTGAGGGACAGGCAGAGCTGGGCATGGCAGGGCTCCTTCGGGCCACATCTCATCTGCTGCTCTCCTCCAGATACAGTATGTGCCTGTGTCCCCAGGCCAGCAGCTTGTCACACAGGCTCAGCTCGAGGCTGCGGCACACTCTGCCGTCACAGGTATGGAGCTGCACCCGAGACCTCGGGGGCTGGGCTCAGGTCTGGCTCCTAGGGCCCCAGGCTCACCGTGCTTTCCCCTTCCCCTCCCCTGGCAGCAGTGGCCGACGCTGCCATGGCCCAAGCCCAGGGCCTGTTTGGCACAGAGGAGGCAGTGCCTGAACACATCCAACAGCTGCAGCACCAGGGCATCGAGTACGACGTCATCACCCTGACCGATGACTGAGCCCCAGGGGCTTGATGCAGATCATGGATACTGGGGCCGGCCCTCCTGGGAGTGGGGAACCCTCCAGGACTCACCTCCCCACTCCACTTAGGGTCTCTATATACTGGACAGCCAGCATCTTGTCAGCCCAAGGGGGCAGACCTGTGCTGTGCAGTTGGGGGCAGCCACGGGCCCCAGCCAGGACATGCTGGGTGCCCCGGCCTGCAGGCAGGCTTCGGGAGAGAACTTTATTTTTGTTTGGGTGGACCCACTGGTCCTGCAGTCTTAATAAAGGGACCAGAGTCCAGCCCTGGCCAGCTGACTTTGTCCACTTGCTGCTACCACCTGGACCAGGTACAGGCCTGGGGAAAAGGAAGGGGCCTGTAACAGTGCCCATAGTTGAGGGTAGAGGTGGAGGCAGCCCAGTCCCTGGTGGCCTGACAGGAGAGGAGACCCTGGGTGTAAAGGACAGGTGGACAGGTGACAGGAATGGCTGAGCCAGGAGCCCTGGGCAGCACCCACATAGAGAACAGGCGCCACACCCTGAGGCCCACTCTAAAGCTGCTGCCCCTAAGCCTCAACGACAAACACCTAGCTGCCCACTTCCTCTGGGGGCCCTGGATCAGCAAGTCAGGCTTTGGGCCTGGGCCCAGCTATCAGGCTGCTCCCGAGAAGTGGGCCCAGCCCAGCGGGTCTGGACCTAGATGAGGTAGGGTCCTGGGCTCTTTAGACCCACTGAGCACAAGCAGAGAACACCAGGGACCCCATCATGTGGGGACCCTGGGATGGGGCTGAAGGCCTGGGGTCATGAGAAGGTGAGCCGGGGGGGGGGTAGGGCTGGAGATGGGGGGTGGTCCCAGTAGTTCAGGCTCCTCAGCCTTCTCTTCCCTCAAGATCCTCAAGTGTTCTCAGAGGGGTTTCTGTATTTCCTTTTACAAATGAAACAAGATGGCAACAGGGTGGGGTGGGACAGGAGGCAGGGGCCTATTTACAGGGGCCGTGGAGTGAGCTGAGGGGGGCTAGGGGCAGGGAGGGAAGCCCTGGCAGCCGCAGTCTTCCTATGTCAGTGGCAGCCCAAGTCCTGCAGCCACCCAGGGGAGGGCCCTGGGGTCCACTCAGCCCCCAAGGCCCAAGGCCCAGCAGTCTATACCAGCACCCCTGGGGCTCCTCCTCCCCGCAGGATGTGTTAAGTGGGGTGAGGCTCCCGGCTAGGGCCCTGCTCGCGGCCCGAGTCCCGGTCTTTGGCCTCTGAGGAGGACGAGGAGGAGGAGCCAGAGCCATGGTTGCGGCCTGACTGCCGGTAGGCGGCGCTGAGCTCCTGCAGCCTCTCAGGCGTCGGCCCCCACTTGGCAAAACCAGGGTCGTTCTGCAGGAAGAGCACAGCCGTGTTGTGGACAGCCTTGTAGTGCATTTCCTCCCTGCAGACAGAGGTAGCCGCTCAGAGTGGGGCTCGGCGGGCCTGGTTGGCCCCACCTGGCAAGCCAGGCCCACCCGCCCTGGCCCTCCCCGGCACCCACTTCTTGCAGACGTGCTGGGAGCCGCTGCGGTACTCATGCTCGAAAGCAGGCAGGATCAGCTGGTGGCGTCGGAAGCGGCTCTGCTCCATGCGGGTGAGCGCAGGTGTTGGGGGATCCCGCCACTCTGGGATGAACACAATGAAGGATAGGGGCTCCGGCGAGCTCTCGAGCAGTTTCTGTAAGAGGGGTACAGGCACATCGGGGCTGCCCTCCAGGTGGCTGGCAGCCCTGTCTGTCCCCAGCCCAGCAGTACACCCACCTCGAAGTGAGAGACCATGGCATCCATGAGCTCCTCACAGAACGGAGGGTTGGCCTCAAAGGAACCGCTCAGTGGCGCAAAGTCCAGGCAGGGCCTGGGGACAGAGGTACAGAGTCTGAGCCCATTTGGACCCAGTCCCCCAAATACAAAGGGGTGCTGCCCCCACCCCTAGGCTGCCATGCTAGAGAGATGGCCCTGGCCAGGCCAGAGGTCAGTAGTCACCCTTAATTCCTCCTGGGACAAGGTCTGGCCGTGTCCACTGAATGAAGGCCAAGGCTCGGGCTGTGGCACTCATATCCAAACCCTGCTGGAGTTCAAACCTAGTTCCAAGCCCTTTGCTACCACAACACAAGCCACACACCAAGATCTCCCCAGCTACTGGGCTTTGGACCTCCTGATGGCCTGGCAGGTCTTCTTTCTGGAGACGAATCATCTTGTCACTGTGCTCACCCCTCCCCCTCTGCCCCCTGCTAGCCCATAAGATCTCTGAGGCCTGGCCATCCCACTCCTCGGTCAGTGCCTGAAACCAGGTGTTCCTATTTTGTTGCAAACCTGAGCTGATTCACTGAGGAGCTATGAGGACAAAAAAGCTGAGGCTCCCAAGTTAGGTGCCGTGTCCCTGTCACACAGCTGGTAAGTGATGAGGGTGGAGATGCACCCAAGTCAACTTGACTCCAAAGCCCTAAGGTGCTAGGGAACAGCTGGCAGAGGTGGGACCTGTGCTCTGGAGGACAGCTCCCCAGGCCTGGGCAGAAAGGGGTCTCACAGCCCCCAGCCCTCACCCGCGGGATCCAAAGTAGCCATCTGTGTCAGGGAAGGCAGAACAGTACTGGCGGAAGTAGCAGTTGAGGGGTGAGGCGAAACACTCGAAGCTGACGCCAAAGAGTCGGTGCAGGGCCTCGAAGACGTGCACGGGCAGCGACCCCTGTAGGCCAGTCCCCTCATAGAGGCCCACGCCAAACATCATCTGCAGAGTGGCCACAGTCAGTGCCTGGGATGCAGCCTCCTGCCCCTCCAGGCACCCCCACTGCTGCCCCAAGCCTGTACCTGGTACCGTCGGAGAAGACACCAGACCCGGGGCAGGAACCTCTCAAAGGCAGAGTCATCGATGCAGCTGTAGCGGTAAAGGAGCCACTGTGGACAGAGTGGTGGGTTTCAACAGTGGTCCTTCAGGCCCACCCCGCCCGCCTCCTGCTGAGGACTCTGGTCAAGAAAAGGACAAGTCCAGCTCATGTCACCAGGCAGGCCCTCCCCCACAGCGCTCACCAGCTTGCTGAAGTAGCTGCGGCTGACCTTGACCATCTCTCCCTTATACCGGATGCAGACCACGTTGTTCTCCATGTGCATCTCCACACTGGGCATGGGGGGTGCAGACCCGCCCAGCCGTACCGGGTAGCAGTACACCAAGCGAGGCTCCACCTCTGGGGCCTCCACCTCCTCTGTGGGCAGGGAGAGCAGTAAGGGGCTGTCTGGCCTGCCTCTGCCAATCCTCAACCCTGCCAGCCTCTGAACCTACATGTGCCAGGTGCTTTATGGCCAGGGAGGGAAGTGTTAACAAAAGGAACAAAATCCACTCTAAACAAAACCAGCACTCAATTGGCAGGAGCAGAACTGGTGTCAACATGCCCCATCCTGAAGCAGGCCCCAGACTGCCATGTCTTGAGGTGCAGGTCTACAGATCTTGCTGCCAGGCAGACGCATGAGAAGCGTGTCACCTTCACCAGGAGAGCTAGTATACTTTATCTAGGGATCTTTCAGAGTCAAGCAATTAGAGTTACCTATGAAGACTCACTCAATCCTATGGCCAGGGATTACCCATCTGGGGAAACCGAGGCTTGCACAGAATGAATGTGAACCCAGGTCCACCTGACTACTACCGCAGGCCACCTCCTGATGACCTCCGGCTTGTCTCTGTCATGACTTCTGTTTCCCAGAAGAGTGCAGGAACTCCCCAGCCAAAGGAGAGAACAAGTCCTATCCCAAACTTCCTGGAAAGAAAAGGCTCCCCAGCTGGGATCTGATGGTCAGCCTCACTTGTCCCTTCAGCTAGTCTGGGATAGAGTTGCTGGATCACGCTGCCCCGCCCCCACCCCCACATCTTACCTGGGATGTTGTTTTCCTTGAGGATGGCAAGGTGCTTCTCTCGGATCCGTCTGACATACTCCAGGGAGATGTGGTAGATCTTGCTGCAGATGCCCTCCACAGAGTCCTTGGCTGCAGCTGAGACATGGGGTCCGCACTGCCGCCGCAGGTGCTCCAGGCGGTCCTAAGAAGACAGTCCTCATCAGGGCACTGGTGGAGGCCACGGGCCTCAGCTGGGCTGGCAGCAACCACAGAACTATTGGGTTCCAGAAGTCCTGAACAGGCTGTTAACTTACAGCCATGTCACCTGCACAAACCCCTTGGCTATTCTAAATCTCATTCCTCAACTCAAAGGAACATGAAATACCTAACAAGGCAGCTTGAATGTTAAATGTCATTTCCCCGGTCCCTGGCATACAGTAAGTGTCCAGTACCTGCCAGCAGGCATCTGTTGGGGTTAAACCAGGGCAGGTCCCATGGAACTGACTGGCAACTCAGACAAATCAAACAGTCCTGGCTCATTGTATGTGCGGTCTATAGGAGAGAGAACTGCAAAGCCAGGTTCTTGGTTATTGTGGGTCTGAAATGTGAGCTTCCAGCTACTTGTGAGGATGACTGTAGGCATCTGAATATTGATGAATCACGTGTGAAACTGAAGAGTGAAAGTGAGTCACTCTGGCTAGTGAGAACACCTACCTTTGTCATTCTTTGTGTCAAAAACAGTTACTATAGTGAAGTGCAAAACCTTGTCTCTTGTGAAAAATGGTCCTGAACACTAGTGCTGGTGGAGAGGATTAAGAAGCAGTAAGTTTAGGCCAGAAAAAAATATTTTAGACACACAGGGTAGGAAATTAAATCTGATGGTAGCTCTTAACCATGATATGAATACACACCCCAGAAAAACACACTTTCTCAACTTCTAAAAATCTACCCAGGGAAATGCTAAACAGTCATTAAGTTGGAAAGGCAGCTATTTGTGTGGGGCCTGACACAGGACTCCATTAAGAATGTTCATGGATGGGACTAGCAGATGGTGTAAGGTTACATCGCTGGACTCCCACATGGCTGACCATGGTTTGAGCCTCAGACCCAGAGGCTTGAAACACACAGGGTGTGTGTGTGCGTGCCCAAAATCATGAGAGGAGAAGAGAGAATGGAGATGAGATTGCAGCATGGCCATTCCTCCAGGGGGTGATTTCTTGCTTTCTGTCTCTGTCTCTCCACCAAACACAAGTGCTCTATAGCAAAAATCTCTCAAAAAAAAAAAGTTCATGGAAGTGTCCTTGGGAAGAAGCCAAGCAGCAGCCCAGAGTGACAGTTCCATAGTCATGGGTTTGGGAACTGCAGGGTCTCAAAGGTCTACTGTGTTATTTAACAAGCTGCAGTGTGAGGCCCTGCCCAGCCTAGACAGGCTGAGTAGGATTCCTAGAGGAAGTGGCCACCTCACTCAGGGCCCCCTCACCATGTAATCCTCCTTGGAGGCTGAGTGGTCCTTCCGAAGCCAGCTGAAGGTATCTTCCACGTTCCACTTGACCACCTTTCTGCTGTCGGGAGATGCACTCCTGCAGGTCAAGGGCAGGACAGAGATGGCTCATCTCTGCACAGGGGCTGGCTGTTGGGGTCTACGTTCGATCCTCCACACTCCCAGTTCCACTGGCATCTTGAGCACTGGCCCCTAGGTCTGTCTCAGCCCTTGTTCTGCCTCTGGGACCTAGCCCACTGTGTCACCAAGAGCAATGACGGCCCTGTGTGAGAGTGGACTGGGTAGCCTAACCGCCCCCCACTCCCATCCCCGCTGATCCAAGACCCATCTTACTCAGGGTAGGGAGAGAGCCAAACCTGGACTCGATGAGCCGCCTAGCAGCCTCTGCGTACTTAAAGAGCAGGCGCTTGGCTTCCTCCCGGAACTTGATTCGAGATAACCTAAGTTAGAGAGGGGGCAGTTAGAGCCCTTCTATGGATGCTCGGAAACAGACAAACTGAATGGCTCAGGGGCATCCCTAGTCGAGGGGCGGTACCTGATGGGAATGTCATTCATGATTTCACGGAACATGGAAGGTGATACAACTGGTTCACAGTTGCTTGGCAATAGGGGGTCAGATCCTTTGTCCACCACCTTGCGCTCCAGCATCCAGCGGTTGAAAGATTCTCGAGGAGGCTCAATGCCTGCAAACAGGAGAGTCCAGGCCCGAGTTAGTTGATAGGTTCCACTTGGGCCTCAGACATGTGAGCCACCACGCTGGGCAGTAAACAGGACCACCAGCCGCCAATATTCTAGGCATTTTTCAATGTCTATTCTGAGAATCACTATTCATTTTTTTCCCCCCTATTTTGCCAGATGTGTGCACTTGCCAGAGAGTGATGGAGGGAGTACACCTCAATAAGATATGGTCACACTACAATCCCTTCTCCATTTCTTCACCCAGTCAGGATATGAGGCATGCACACATATGCCCTCAAGCTGCTGGGGGCGGGAGCTAAACTAGTCAGCCATGTGTGGGACCGGGCTCCCTTAACCACTAGGCTAGAGAACTAGCCCTTGAATCACTAGTTACAAAAAAGGAGAGGGGGGTGGGAAGAGGAGTATTTAAGCACAATTCACCAGGTTTACTTACTAATTACAAAAATTCAAAGCTGTACTTTATTGAGTACTTAACCATTTCACTTACTCCTTATAATCTATGAGGGCCAGCCCCAAAAGCCTAGTGGTTAAGGGAGCCAGATCCCACATGGCCAACTGCGGTACACACCCCAGTCCTGGAGGTTAAACACGCTGGCAGATATACATGCATGCCTAAAATCCCAACAAGGTAGAGAAATGGAGAGAGGGTTGTGCTGTGACCATGCCCCACTTAAGAGTGCTTTCTCCCACTCATTTTCTGGCAAGCTGCATGTGCACTTTGGCAATTCAAAACAAAACAAAACAGCCCTATAGCAAATATCTAGAAGGTAGCTTGGTGGTTAAGGCACTGGACTCCCACATAGCTAACAGCAGTTTAAGTCCCAGAGCCCCTTAAATCACACCAAGCACGTGTGTGTGTGCGTGTACCCCAAATCCTAAGAGAATAGAGAAGGGACTGCTGTGTGGCCAAGTCCTGTGCTTTCTCACTTTCTGACAAGTGCATGTGCTCTTCAGCAAAAACCCATGTGGCGAGGGCAGGGGAGTCCCATGAAGTGTAAGTACTCTCACTTTTTAACTTTATTTTATTTATTTTACTTATTTATTTTAATTTGACCAGAGAGGGACAAAGAGCAAGAGAGTTTGGGACTTGAACTGCAGTCGGCCATGTGGGAGCCCACCACGCCACCTGCTGGCCCAGTACTCTGACTTTTTAAAAAAATTGTACAAGAGGGCACATGCCTGCTGAGGAAGCACTCCCCATAGGGCATGGTCACACCACAGTTTCTTCTCCATTTCTCCCTCCCATTGGGACTCAGCACACAGGCATACACACTTTACATGTTTCTCAAGTCAGCTGGTCCAGGACTCGAACCACGTAGTAAACCATTTGGGACCAAGCAGCACCAGCCATCGCGCCATTTACTAGTCAAGCACTCTCACTCTCATGCTCTCTTACAGATCTGTACAAAGGTGTTGCACAGTGCCTGGTAAGCTGTAAGCACTCTGGTAATGACGGTCCCCTCTGTCAGTCAGTCCCAGCCCTCCCTCCCTACGCCAGCACTGTCGCTGCCCATCTTGCAGATGAAGAAACCAAAGTGCAGAGGGTTGAGCGATGAGCCCAAGACAACGTGCACCACTTAGCAGGCTCGGGCTCCAGCAGGACTGTCCCCTCCACAGCGCACACCTAGAACCAATGGACTCCACTGCACCATCCCCTAGCATGCCTGGCAAAGCCCTACTTCCTGCAAAGGGGAACAGCAACGAAGTTACCCTCTCGCTGCTGGCACAGCTCCCGGTAGTGCTGCCGCAGCTTCAGGATGAGCTGGGAACGGAGCAGCTCCACTTCAGGATGTGGGGGCAGCACCTCCGAAGGCCCCCGGTGCTTGATGACCGCATTGGTCTGGATATCCAGGTCCCAGTACACCCTTGGGGCACAGACAGAAGCCATGAGGATGCCCTGCCTGCCACCACCACAGCCCAGTGCCCCCACGCCAATCAGTAGGGACTCACTCAGTGGGTCGGAGGAGAGCTGCCTGCTGTTTATCTTCAGGGGATGTACCCCAAATCTTCAGTGTTGGGGTTCCTGGAACACTGGGGGAGCTGGGCACTGACTGGCCAGTGGGTGTCACGGGGATTTCAATCTGGAGTGAAAGACATCACGTTGGAATGCTGAGTGAGTAGAGTGCCATTGCACCTGGAGAAGGGTGCCCTGGGCCCGCCCCGCCAACTCGGAGCCGTAGACAAGCACCTTGGGCTTCTTCATGCCGTTGCCACTTGGCTTTTTTTCTGCTTTCTGGGCTTGTTCTCAGCTGGGGGTGTTTCCACCACACTTGAGTCTTGGGGCAGTGGGGTGGCATTCAGCCCCAAAGGGTCCGACTGGGGAAAGAAGACCAGCAGAGTTGCAACCAGGGCCAGCTCAAGAGTTCCAGTATGTGAGGTACTCCGCCCTCTGGGAGGGGCGAGCAGGGCGGTGAATTCACTGGTTAGTGAAGTAGTAGGGCCGGTTCTCCCACTGGCTCCTACTTCTCCAGGAAGAGCAGAGGAGTGGGCCACAGGCAGAAACCACTGGACTCCACCGCTGCCTGCTGTGTGCACCTATGTGACCTCCGAGAATTACTTGCCTTTCTAACTCCCTCACCTTCACAACAGCCATGCTAGGCCCTACCTCTCCATCCAGAAAATTATTAAGTGAGCCAGTGAACATGACATCTGGCATGAGGTCAGCACTCAATATATGTTCATTTATTTTCCTTAACAATAGAATGAAGGGCCAGCACGTGGCATGGTGATTAAGGCACTGGACTACCACATGGCTGGCTACTGTTCAAGACCCAGACCCAGACGCTTGCTTTTTCATTTTCCCTTTCTCTGTCTCTCTCTCAACAAATTAAAAATAATACTAATAATAAAAATTATTTTAAAACACACAATGAAAGTCAAAAAGAAAACTGAAGAAATGATTTTTTGTTTTTAATTATTTACTTATCTGTTTGTTCTGATTTTCAAACCACCAGGTGCAGGACTTGAGCCACAGTCAGCAATGTGGGAGTCCAGCACCTTAACCAACATGCCACCTGCTGGCCCTGAAATGTGTATTTTTTTAAAAAGTGAGGTCCTGTGCAAGGAGCTGCTTTGGTGAGAGTATGCAGTGGTGAGCAGTGCGGCTCTCAGATCGTAGCAGAGTGCAAGTCCTGCTCTGCTCATTGCTAGCTATGAAGTCTTGGGCCAATCAGTTCCCCTTTCTGGACTTTTTTTTTTAATCCCCAGAGGGTGTATGTACTTTCCAGAGACAGACAGACAGACAGACAGAGAAGACATCCCCCATGGGGCATGCTTATGCCACTTTTCCATTTCTCCATCTTGTCAGGATTTAAGGCACATATACTCATGGGTCTGATGTTTTTCTTTCAAGCTGCCAAGGCCATGATTTGAACTACTCAGTCATGTGGGACCCAGTTCCCAAAACCACAACAAGGCCAGAAGACTAGACGGTGCCAGTAGAGAAGCTGCCCCACTGAGAGAAACACAAAAGCCCATGTTCCCACCAGCCGGCCCAGGCCTGTACCTCCCCTCACATTAACAGTTCAGTTCCTAGCACACGCTTCTCATTCTTCAACTCTCCTGTAGCTAACCTTCTCTCTTAAACACTAATTCTCAGGGCCAGCAGGTGGCATGGTGATGAAAGCACTGGAATCTCACGTGGCCGACCATGGTTCAAGTCCCGGAACTGGTACCTTGCTTTCTCACTTTCTCTCTCTGGTTAGTTCATGTGCCCCTATAGCAAATTAAAAAATAACAACAAAAATACTAACTCTCAGTTCCCAGACCCCTCCCTTCCCCAGACCAGGTCTGGATCCCTGACATACTCAGGTATTCTCCCTACAGATACACAGCTCTAATCCTACTGTCCCCCTCTGGGAGAAAGAGCACCCTCTGGGGACTGGGAGCATGTCTGTCTGGCTCACATTTGCATCTGTGGCATAGCGCCCAAAGCGTGGCACCAGTTTGACATCCTACACCGTTACAACCGCCAGCCTGTCAGGCTCCCCCACTGGAGTACAGGTGCCACAAGGGTAAGGACTGCATCCGTCCTGTTGTGTCTGCATTGCCAGCACAGACCTAAGTGCACAACTGCTCAGGGGATATGTGGGGAGGCCCTGGTGCCAACAGCTGAGACCATCAAGGTGGGCACTCACAATCACATCGTGCTGACCCAGCACAGGCATCTCCCACAGGGACTGGTTGGTGAATCGGTTGAAGTAGTAGGGCCGGTTCTCTCTCCGACTCCAGCACTTCTCCCAGCCTGCGTGCACCAGCTCCTCTGCAAAGCAGCACGAAACCAAGTCAGGTCAGGGCTGCTCCAGGGTGCCCTTCCTCCCCACCACCCTCTGCTGCTCCCACCAGTACCTGGGAGGTCCTGCACCAGGCGGACTGGCTTTGGAGAACAGGGCTGGCTCTGATTGGAGGTGCCCGGGGAGTGGCTCAGCAAGGATGCTTCCTCCCGGGGGCTGCCGTGATTCTCATTGGCCATCTCAGCACCCACAAGGGACCTGCCACACAGAGGACCAAAGTGTCAGCTCCACCCCTACCTACCCATGCACCAACTAGAACCCAGTGAGGACCCCAGGAACCACCCACAGACATGGAGAAATCCAATCCAGCCCCGTCCTGGTGGGCCAACATGACGCCAGAGTCCTGGGATCTAAGCTGCTCCTCCAACTGTGAGAATGAGTGGACTCCTGCTGTACCTTCTTCCAGAAATACCCTCTGCCAGTCCTCAGCCTGGCTTGCCACTTGGTTCACATGCTCCAGGAACCCTCTGCCTCCCTTCCCCAGGCCAGGTGGCCGGCCAACTCCTCAGTGCCACGAGCACCTCTGTTGTAGCTCTGGCTTTAACACTAATTCTCAGAGAAGCTTTTCTGGATACCTCCCTTCTTCAGACCAGGTCAAGATTCATGATGTACTCTACCACTAACCCTCATTCAATTGCCACGACCAGCATCCTACTGTCCCCTCCAAGAGACCGCTGTATTGTGGTCTTCCAACTGGGTTTGTCTACCATTAAGCCTGTCAGAACTTACAGGAACAGGAATTTGGTCTAATTCAGTGTTCTCCAGAGCTCAGTACAGATACCTGAACCCAACAGGAGCTCTGTTCATTCTGCAGTTATGTACAAAGCACTCAGAGCAGCAAACAGGACAGACAGGGTCTGCCTGAGAAGCTATTCTTATAAGGAATATAACTCCTCTTAGGAGATGGGGTTTTCAGTAAAATCAAAGCATAGCTAGTGCCGGGACACAGAACCTAACTGGTTGTCTCATTTTACACTTACTGGCGAGAAGCAATAACTTTGCTAAATTGCTAAAAGAGTCAGTGCAATGGAGGGTGACCGTACTCAGTCCTTCGTAATCCTTAGGTGAAAATTTACTTTTGATACCAACGGAGACCAATGTCTTCAGATTCGTAATCCCTACAACCCCCACCTGAAGCATAGGTCCCCATGGCCAAGGTGGTCCCCAGCTTGGTGCTGTTAGACACCCTGAGCGTCAACTGAGACCCGACTAATGATGCTACAAGTGGTTTTCAATGTGTTACAACACCCAAAACAAATCAAACCTACACCCCCAATAAGACCACAAAGGCTGGTTTAAACATCGATTATCTTTGTGTACTGAGATTTTATCAACTCATTGTGGTCACGCTGATTATCTCATGCTGATCAGAAGCTCTGGCTTGCTGCTGACGACATCATAGGATTCACTGAGACACGGATTTTATTGTACACTCAGTCACAGACGTCTTTGTTAATTTGGAAAGAGCAAAGTGAATGGTTACTTCATCAGTAGTTCATTAGACCAAAATGCGGGAGGCAGCAGGATGTATGTATATACAACACAAGAGGGCCTTGGTGACAAAAGGTTTGGCAGCAGTACTCAAAACCAGGGAACAAAATGCCAGAGCTGCCTTGGTTCTCTGGGGAAGAATTCCTGGTGCCTTGGGAGCTGAGCCCACTGTTTTCGAAGCCGAATGAAGTCCCCCTTTCTCTCACCCTCTGGGGTCTGCAACGCTAGCATGAGAGAGTTTTCTTCCTCAGCTGGAAGGACCCACGTCACAGGGTCCCACAGAGGCAGGGAGAAGCCTGCAGGGAGGCTCAGCACTGGTGGGTGGACTGGTCAGCAGTGGAATAGATGGGGTACCAAGAGATTCCCGTTATCAGCAGCTGGAGAAAAAAAAAAAAAAGTCACAGACTGGTGAAATGCTACATGACAAGCTGGGGGGTCCCCAGGATACGTTAGGATAGACTAGAGGCATCTTGATTCAGGGGATGAAAATTATGCTTGCCTTCCTGGGCATGCAACCTGCACAGGTGGACGGGGCCTGTTCAAGAGGGTCCTGACCTTGGTTTAATGCTCTGCCGTCACTGCCTTAATATGTTTAAAAACTTCCTAGCAAGGGGGCCACCTTTTCATTTTGCACACTGGGCCCCACAAATGAAGTAGCTGGTCCAGTCAACCAAAGTAGTCTCAGACAAGAAAAAAGTGAATGTATATTTCATGGATACAAGGTACAGTTACAAGCCACCCACAGTTGAGTAAAAGCCACAGTATTTTGAATGTCTTAAGGAAAACGAAAACATGCCAATGTATTGTGCATCTTGTTTCTCTTTATTGACAATTATTTTTCCTAAAAGATATCCTGAGATACTGATGTACTAGGCAGATGAACTCTGCAGCACAGGCAGCATAGCATAGCATGAGGCCAAATCGGGACACTGCAGTATTTCCAAAGTCAGCTTTGCTTTGGAATCTTGTGGGAACTTGTATAAAAATTTAGATTTCTGGACATAATTCCGCATCTCAAGAGCCAAAAACAGGGAGGGAAGGTCCACAAGAATCTTTTTTATAAATGCACCCAAAAATGGAATGGAGATTGAGGATGCCTAATCTGCTCACGTTTACATCATTAAAAATTAAAGCTTTTTTAACAATTAATTTTTTTAAAAAATTGGGCCAGCAGATGTTGTAGTTAAGGGCGCTGGACTTCCACATGGCTGACCGTAGTTTTGAGTCCTGGACCTGGTGGTTTGCTTTCTCACTTTCTCTCTCATGCTCACTCTCTCCCTGTCTGGTTAAATATATAAAGTTAAGGGACCAGCAGCTGGCGTAATGGCTATGTTGCTGGACTCCCATGTAGTCAACCATGGTTCAAGTCCTGGACCTGGTGGCTTAAATTCACGCTGGGCGCGTGTGCATGCATGCTCCAGATCCCGAGAGAAGAATGGAGAAGGGATTGTGGTGTGGCCATTCCCCCTGGGGGGTGATTTCTCACTTTCTGTCTCTTTCTGGCAAGCACACGCACCCTATAGCAAAAACCTCTCCCCCAAAATAAAGTTAAAATTTTTTTTTGGAGAGGTTTTTGCTATAGGGCATGGGCGCTCTCCAGAGAGAGCCAGACAGACAGACAGAAAGCAAGAAATCACCCCCCCAGGGGGACGGCCATGCTGCAATCCCTCCTCCTCCACTCTCCTCTCAGGATCTTGGGCATGTACACACACGCACCGGCGTGAGTTTAAGCCACCGGGTCCAGGACTCGAACCG